ATACTTTCACAATTAGGACTAGACCAGTGGTTCCCTCTGTGAGTGTCATCTTGGGCTCCTTGGGAATGCAAAGCAGGAGACTTTTCTCAGAAGGTTTCTTCAGGTTAAAGAAGAAATTAATGGCTCTGTCCTACTTAGAGAAGACTTTCCAAATGTGAACACTGCTGTGTTTTCTGGCTACTAAAACTTGCCTGTGTTGCTCTGGTTTTCTGGTTTGGGTGCTGTTTTTATTTTGAGGTTTCTTTGGCCCTGGACACAGGGCAGATAGGAAAACCTCAACATGCACACTAGCTGCCAACGTGCTGTCCTTATCAGATCCTTAATGGAGCCAGGCAGAAGTCCAGGTCATACTCAGGGCAAGCAACCATGGCCCTTTTAGCCTAGTCTTGAAGTAATTATCTTAAAACAAATGTCTTAGGGCCACTGGACAAGTACAGAGTTGTTGGATCATCCCTTGGCCACACGTTAGGGTGTGGTTTGGTGCAGTGTGGACATCTTTCCTGTAGAAGAGAATCTGGTTGCATATTACAGTTAGATGATGTAGAAACTGTCCAGTGACAAGTTTTGTCATCTTCTGCCTGTAACAGGGAGATCTGAGTGTGTTTTCTGATTCTGGAAAACCAAACTGCTTCCTGTAAGGGAGTTATTGCTTGCAAGTAGAGAGACATTCGGCTGATTTGATCAGCAGAGCAGTGCAGAAGAAATTGCTTTTCAAGCCAAGTAGGCTGTTAGGAATCTGAGCTTCTCTTTCAGGTCACTATTTTAATTTTCATGTTAATGGACTAGGTGTGTGCTGCTTTTCAGGAGATGTAATCATGTTAGAGGGTTTCAGTGGCCCCATATTGTTTTAGTAGCTCTAATGAAGTAGGCTGCTTGTGATCAAAGAGCATTATTCATCTTATTAATTGGCATATTTATGGCATTACTGATTAAATAGTTTATAAGCCAATTGGGAAACCACACCTGCCCTGGTACACAAGGAAATACCTTTTAAATCAGAGGAGCTGAGAAGAGGAAAGTCCCACCCCTTCATCCTGTGCTGGAGCATGGTGCAGTAGGTAACACCAGCTTTGCCCCTGCTAGTTTAGACAGGTATGTTCTTCCCCATTTCACTTGTGGAGAGGACTGGGAAGCTATGTGTAGGATCTTATTTCTCCTGTGGCCCTGACAACATGGTCCCTCCTTGGTGGTGGAAAAGCCAATGGCCAGCCTGTATTTCTGCTAGCACTCCAGCCCAGACATGCTGTATGACAGGCTGAATGGCCAGTGAGGTGTTTGGGAAAGATCTACGTGAGCTGCTTCCACTGCACTGTTCCTAGCCAGACACTGCCAGGTGAAGAATCCTGTTCCAGTGGGGAGAAACTGTTAAAGCATCACCTATTTTTTTACATTGACATTGTGGTTCAAAGCTAAATTAAAGACATCATGTTGCCTCCCTCACAATCCCAGTTCCATTCCTGAAGTCAGCAAGGGAACATGCTCAAACTCCTTCCAGGTACATGAAGTAAACAAAATAATAACACTAATAATACTAACTACAATAATAATAATAATACTAATTAAATACTATAGACATTTTCTTGTCCTTCAGCTGAAATAATCTTAAAGTGTTTTTTAAAGCACAAACTCATCTGATGGTTTCCCTAGATGTCCTCTTTCCACTTCCACCTGGGCAGTCTGCCCTGACTAATTTCTTAGCTGAAAGACAATATTTTGGGTTTATTTGCTTCCCTCACTTAGAAATGGAATGGCATGTGCTTAAGGAGACTCTTAGAGTGAATGGTCAGGATAGCAAGCTTAAGATATTGCCAGCTGAATTTAAAATCTGCAGCCTTTATTCAATCCTAATGGCAAATGAGACAATGTAAATGTGAGTTCTGTGGGATTAGTTAACTTTTTTCCTCTGCTTCTGCTTCATTCAGTGCACAAAATGAATAGCAGTCCCTCTGAGTAGACTATATCTCACCCAGCTTCAGCACTGAAAATTGCTGTCTGTATGGGCTCCCTTTCTGCTGAGTGGGAGGAGGTAGGCACTGCCAGATGGTGATTCAGCCTCTCTTCAGGTAGGTCTGAGACAGATGGGATGACTTTTCTTCTTAGACAGTCCTCTATTTCTCTGCTGACCCACAAGGCAACAGGCAACCTGCATGCTCCTTTCAGACAGCTAAAATTAGGTGAGCTGCATCTCATCCTCAGCAGAGTTCCTAACTGTTTAGTGTGTGGCCTGCTGCCACATTTTCTGTAATGCTATTGAAATCCTTCAGCAGCCAGTGTCCATTGCCTCCATGGGCTTTGGCTGGCAGTGGAGTGTCTTAAGAGTAGAGGCCATCTCACCAGCTACAGATCTTTACTAGGTGAGGCTTAGCAGGCAACTTGAACATCCTCAGCTCTCTTTGTGTCAGTGGAAACATGCACTTGTGTCATCTGTTTTAGTTTGAGATGAGTCTTTCTCTGGAAGCACCTGTATTGGACTCTCTGTGCCCGACTGGATGTGAGTGTCTGGTATTATCCTGTCTGGGAGCTGACATTTAGCCAGATGAACTCCGTGTGAAGTCCTCTGGGACCATGAACTGGTTTGTTTCATAGCTCATAGGAAAGTGGAGGCAACATCTGAGTTTGACACAGAGCAAATTAATAGTGTGATTAAACCAAAACTAATTTTTAGGTTTTGAGTGATATACCTAGGGCTTAACTTTCACATGAACCTACGTTGCATTTCTCAAAGAACAACCCTTATTTATTCTTGAATGAAAAATATATCAAGAAATTTGCAATTTGCCAATCCACAGCCAGAATGCAAATGAGAGTCTTAAGTTGTGAGCGTGACTCCTTTTCGTTACAGCAAGTACTGTAAAAAGAGTTTTAAAATAGTTTTAATAACTTTGTGTATCTTTCATGGTGTCTTTTTAGTCTTTCTAAACTGCTTGTTATTAGGAAATCTCATGCAAAAACATAAAGAGATGGATTAAATCTGACTCCTGACTTGTTTCCATTGGGAAAACAAGTGTGCACAGCTTCACAGTTGCTCCTGTGTGAATGTTAGCTTGAGCTGTCAGGGAAAGGCAGGGCGAGGTTGGGTCTGAGCTACTAATGATGGGAAGAACTTAGCAAGAAGTCACTTGGCAAGTTCACTTAGCAAGAAGTTCTTGTCACTGTGTCTTGCACTTGTGTATTTTGAGCCATGCAGCTTTACACGCTCCATGAGATGAGCAGCACCTCCCAGCCTGAGGACTCTGGTGGCCTGACATCATGATGTCTCTTGGGCAGCAGTCAGCCTTCACCATCCACAGCTCAGCTCCTGTGAACAGTGAATAACTTCCCTTCCCAGTCAGCGTGGTCTCTTCTTGCCAGCAACTGCCTTCCTCACGTTTCTGGGGTTGGTGTAGATGTAGTGCCTGGTGAAACGAGCTGTGGGAGGGCTGACGTGGACAGGTCATACTGCTTTCTGTGTGATAGCCAGGAGGGAGCTCTCATGTTCTGGTAGGGTCTATTTGCTCAGATTTATAGCTGCAATCACAGCTGATTACAGTGTGTCAGAAGGGTCTATCACTTGAGCTGTTGCAGGGGTGATTACGAGGTGGAGCCATGAGGCCCTGGAGTATCTTAACTGCCTTATTTGCCCTCTTGAATGTCCAGCAATAGATGAAAATAGAGTGGACATGAGGGAAAAGCTGTTGACAGCCAGGAAAGTTACTGTAATACAAAAGGCCTCAACTTGGCACCAAGCAACCATTTCTGCCTTTGCAAACACACAATTAAGATTATATTTCCTCAGAAAAAGCTATTTCTTCAGAAAAAGCTCTATGATGGAAGCTTTATATTTTATGTGTCTACTCTCACACCTTGATTTGCCTTGGGACTGGACCAGACCTTGGTACTAAGGGTTTTTGCACCTATTTATTAATATAAATTTGAAGAATAATGTCATTTGATGGGTGTCTTTTCCTGTTGCAGCCTATTTCAATCCCTGCAGTGACTTTTAGCCTGAAAGGTTCATGAGAGCAACTAAGAAACCTAAAAATCTTAGGGCTTAAGTTCACAGCACAAAAATGTTTTATCTGTCCCAGAAAAGTTTTAGGAGCTCACTAACTGAACAAAGTTAAAAGCTCATGATAATGATGAGTTGATTAGACTAAGACTCAGTCATTTTAAAATGATTTGAAAAGTGTATGTAGTCAAGTGTCTTGGACTAGTGGTTTTCAGCAGTTATGGATCTAATGGAATGGATCCAGAGGAGGATCACAAAAATGATTGGAAGGCTGGAACACCTCTTCCATGAGGAAAGACTGAGAGAGTTGGGAGTGTTCACCCCGGAGAAGACTCCAAGGAGACCTTATTGTGGCACTTTAATATATAAAGGTGGTTTATAAAAAAAGACAGAATTTTTACCAAGACCTTTAGTGACAGGACAAGGGGTAAACGCTTTAAACTGAGAGTAGATTTAGACTGGGATTAAGGGGGAAAAAAATATTATGCGTGTGATGAGACACTGGAACAAGTTAGCCAGAGAAGCACTGGAAATGTTGAAGATCAGGTTAGATGGGACTTTGAGCAACCTGATCTGGTGAAAGATGTCCCTGCCCGTGGCAGGGAGTTTGGACTAGATGATCTTTGAATGGTTTGGGTTATAAGGGACCTTCAAAGATTCTATGAATAAGTGTTTCAGTCTGTACTTGTGCATTTTTCTACGCAGGGATTAAAGAATTTAACACCATTTTCAGGGTGTTGTGCAAACCTCAAGCAAACCAGACCTATTGATTTCTGGAGAACTCTCTTCTAATCTCTCCAGAACTTGCTACAGTCTGAATTCATGCTTGCTTTTGAGTTTTGGGACTAAGCAGATTAGACCATGTCGGAATTTTGTTCTGGCTTTTCTCAACAAGAACCAGGTTAATCTCTGACGTGCTGTGTTTGTGGGCTAAGATAACTACCTAAGTATGCCTGAAGACTTGTCCCACTGCCTGATCAATGTCTCATATTTACTCTTCCATTATGGACAGGATTTGACCTGATGAATTCGTTCAGCGTGAAACAGATTTTTGGAATGAAAGAAAATGGCATTCAGAGTGCTTATGTACGACTTGGAAGCTTCCCTGTGGTTCAGAAAACTGAGTGAGTACCCTGGTTTTTCACTTTATTTTCACATGAGCCTCTGCTTTGTATTATTTAGTTCTTCTAGGTTAACCTTATAGTAATCATCTAGTACCTACACATCCCTTGCTGCTTTGTTCAGCTCCTTCAGTTCTACAGACACAGAATTTATACAACATGGTGGAGAGCCTTTGCACCAACTACAGGCTCCATCCTGGTAGAGTATGAGCTGGCTTTGGTGTATCTCAATGGTTCTGAGCAGCAGTATCAAGAAATTCACAAAAGAACCTCGGGCTTGATAAATAGCTTCTAAAACAAACAATTGGTAGCACTCTCGTTGAGATTTATTTTTGCTAATCACAAGGGACCAGTTCCTAGTAGGTGTTGTTAGCATTTAGTTAATGTAGGGTTTGGCCTTATAAAAGAATGAGCAATTTTTAACCCTGTGCTGACATGGATTCAGTCTTTGGAGCCTTTTAGGGCCTAAGGCTACTGGTTGTGTTGTAGTCTGTCAGAGTGGTTTCTCTTTGGGTTGTCACTTGGGTCCTGCTAACATTAGCCTTGAAAAGAGTGAGTGCATAATTTCACTGAGTAACCATGAGCCATAGATTGAATTGTCACCATTAACATTTTTGCAGTAAATTTCTCTGTGCTGGTTTAAACTTCAGCTGAAAAAATCAATAGTAATTTTTTTCCTCCTTATGGATGAGGGCTGTTATTTTTTATTTGGTTTTAGCTCTTTTACTCAGCTCGCTGCATCTTTGAGATTGTCCTGTGACTTACATTTGCTTGATATCATAATACTGTTTTTGTCCTGGAGCCAACTTGGATTGATTTACCCTTGTCCTCTTACCCCCACTCTCCATATAAACACACAGTCTTAAAAAAAAAAAAAAAGGCAAAAATATATACTGAAAAGAAAACTGTTTGCTCTGAAGTCCATAAATGATGTCAAATCTCAGGGTAAGTAGATTCATGATGTGGGAGAAGGCCAGACAACTAAAGACAATTTGGCCTTGATAAGTAGTATGTACATAAGTGGAGGGGGAGGGGGGACAAACCTGTTTTGTTTGTTTGGCTCCCAGCAGTCCCTGGGTATCATCTCTGCTTGCTGCAGCTTGTAGCAGCTAGTAGTAGTGTGCTTTATTACTGTGAAGCATTGCCACCAAGACCACTTAGAAATAAGCCCTTGAAGTGAATAAGTCCTTAAGAAATTCTTGGAATGCTCACAGAATGGTAGGGTTTGGAAGGGACCTCTGGGGATCATCTAGTCCAGTCCCCAAATGATATGAGCTCTGGATGATACTGTGTCAAATGGGGCTAGTGCAATCCTTGGGGATATAAGCAGGAACTGTCAAGTGTGAGCTGACTATCTCCATATCAGGCAACTCGGTCACCACTGATGGGGTGCTATGTGCAGTCCTTGTTTCCATAATTCAGGAGGTAGAAATGGAGTGGCTGAAAGTTTAAAGAGTTGTGAAGCAAGTCTAATGGTGAGAAATTCAAGAGGTCAAGTGTAGTCAGGCAATTCAAGAAGCAGTGAACAGCTGAGGTAGTTGCTCTCTGTAAGAACCTCTGGGAAATCACAGTTTAATAAAGGGTCTTTGATTCTGAGGGTAGAGAGAGGCTGAAAGTCAGTGGCTACCTGACAATGGCATCAAAAACCAGCGTGGAAGGAAAGCACACTTTTACCAATGAATGTAATTAACCATGGGAACAAGTCAGCACAGATTTCAGAGAGTTTTCCATCTCCATTCCTTTTTCAGACTAAAGCTTAATGTAATTTCTCAGTGGTGTCCCAGAAAGTGAAGCCAGACCAAACAGCTATGATGACTTTCTCTCTGCTCAGATAGCACTTGTTTGTTTGTGGTTGTTTTTAAAATAGGTAGAATATTTTATTGCCTGTGACAATTAGAATTAAAATGTCTTTAATTAGTAGAACGAAATGATGAAGCTTCTTTTTGAGTGATTAAGTGAAACATAGAATTAAAGTTCAATATTTTCAGCCTTTTGTGTTTTAACTTCCATACTCCTGTGAATTGGGAATAAGCCCAAATGGATATAGCACCATGGAAGGTGACTGTTTTGGGCTCATTTTAGCCTTTGGATGTCAGGAGTGTGAGATGGTGCATGTAGGGTCATTGCTCACAGAAAATGAAATCTTGTAGAACTGCACAAAACTGGTAGCTGGCATAATAAACAAACCAAAACCATCTGTCCTGTCTTGCAGATAACCTCAAGCAATGTTTACTGACTGATAACAACGTCTCATGATTAGATACAAACCCATTAAGTGTGTAATATGTGTAATTCACTTTATTATCTGCTTAAAGGATTTGTAGCCTTTCCTATAAGCATGAGTACGGTTATGAAGTGCCAGCTTAGCTGCCTGGGAAATGTGTGTGTTTGTCTCCTGGTCTGGAGCTTACAACTCTCAGCTTCCTTCCTCTTTGTGATGAGGCACCCTGTGATGGTTCTGGTAGCAGGCAAACAACAGGCAGGAACTTGGCCACAGCCATTGTCCTGGTCACTGAGGGACGTAACAGGTCTCTCCAGCTGGCTGGGGGCTGGTCCATAAGTCCAGCTGGTGCTTCTCCTCAGGCAACCAGGGCTGCCCTGGCTCCTTAGTGGATCTTCTGGCCAAAGCTGTGCCCCAGATTTCTGGATTTGGGTCCTCAGGGTTGGTTCCCATTACTGTTGCCTTGGACAATGACAAGCTTTTGACTCACTATCTTGTTCTGCCCTCCATCTATGCCTTCTGGTCCTGACTCCAGAGCCTTCTTCCTGGCCATGTCCATCCCTCAGTTTTCTTTTGCCTGATCTGGTTCCAGCCTGGCTTGGTCTTCGTCTCAGCTGCTACCTCACAGAACTTCCTGATGCTTGGCCTAACTTCTAGTCATGATCTGTTTCTCTTCATATTGGTACAGTGTTGTCTTCCCCCGTTTCTGAATCTTCTTGTTTTGGGCACCTATACCTTTTGTCTGTCTGGAGACTCTGTCTCCTGACATCAACTTAACTTCAGGTGCCTTCCTTGGGTTTCTCCATGAGCTCTTGCCCTGGTCTCATCATTTGTTCTGCTCCACAGAGAAGAAAATTCTACACAAAGCCCCTGAAATCTTCTACACTAAACTTGAAGCCTCCTGAATGCTTCCTTGTTCCTTGCTTCTTCTGAAACTTATATTTCATATGAGAAACAGCAGAGACAACTAAGATTCTTCAGCTAGGAGCAGAGAAGGTTTGAGGGAGAATTTTATTCACATGTATAAACACCTGATGGGAAGGAAGCAAAGCGGATGGAGGCAAAATCTTCTCACTGGTGTCCATGGACAGGACAAGAAGCAATGGGAACAAATTAAAATAATGAAATGCAACCTGAACATAAAACCTTCTTTAAACTAGATGATCTCAAGAGATCCCTTCCACTCTCAGTGATTCTGGGATTTGTAATTCACTGCTGCACCCTCTCCCACTCTCTGCCAACCCTGTCTTTCCCTTTCCCACTCTCTTCTCCCATGCCAGAGGCAAGTGTTTGGCCTGGTCTGTGACCTGTCCCAGAATTTCTCATGGTGCTGGAGTTGGAAAAAGACCAAGACACTGTGCTGAAGTCAGGAATGAGACATGCAGCTCCTTGCTCTACGTGGTGAGAGCAGACTCCCAGCTGAAGGATCTTGCTGTGCCCCATCTCATCTTGTGACCTCTATTGCCAGACAAGTGCTTGTCATCTAGAAAAATAAACGTCTGTCCAAATCTGCTGTGAGGTTGTTGGGAATATGTCTGTCAGGAGCACACCTGAGGAGTTCTTTGTAGGCTTCTTCTTTACTAGCCAAAGAAATAGAGTGAATTCATTGCCCCGGTGCTAGAACCACATAATTTGTGCTCTTCACTTGTTTATGTGCTCATCTCAAGGTAGTTTTGGCTGACTCAAGCAATGTTACCCCAGACAATGCATGAGCTTAGTGTGGAGGATGGACCATGCCAGAGACTGCTCCTCAAAGGCAGTTTGGATGGACCCTGCCCATTATTCCATTTGGGGTTGGACTAGATGATCTCTCGAGGTTCCTTCCAACCCCTATGATTCTATGATTCTATGATTATTCACTAGTGTAGATATAGACATTGAGTCTCCAACTCAGGAAGGTTAAGCCTGACAGAGGTGGAATGACTGAAGGCTTGTTTTGGCCTTCTAGAGAGTGAAAGACTGAGGGGAGAGCTGATAAACATGCAAAGGCTGCAGCAAAGAGAGGAGAACAAGTTGTATGCATGGTTCCTTCAGAAAAAAAAGAAAGTAAGTTGTTTCAGGAAGGTTAAACTGCAGCAAGTGAGATTTAGGATGGACTTTTATGCAGCAGGTAGGATAGTGAAACACAGGCAGAAATCACCTAGTGAGGTGGTACCTACTCCATCACTGAGGTTCCTGAAGTAGAGGCAAAAGAAATGTCCATGAAAGATGTATAGGTGGGTTGATTCTATGTTGTGACAATCCTGCTGTAGCTTTTTCCCTATCTCCCTTTTCCCCTCTCTTCTCTTCCCCTCCCTTTTTTTTTTTTCCTGTCATTCTGAGAGCCTCTGGTGATGTGATGCATGTAGAAGTGAACTGGCTTCCTCCAGCCTTGTTCCACAGACCTTAATGAGTTAGATTTCATATTAGCAGGTTTTAGCTGTTGTAAAAGTGGTCAGGTTTCCCAGATACATTAATTATACTCTTCCTCACCAAACGCACACACCCTATTCATTGTTGTTACATTCCATGTCTGAAATGAGAACTAATAATCTTATTTTTCTCCATTGTGGAGGTGTTATAGATGTAGGAGCTCATGCTGATTGTCACAGACATGAGCTCTCATGCCAAACAAAAGCATGTAAGGAGATCAGACACTGGAAGTGGGCAGTGGCTGAAAGAGTCTGCCTGGTTATTATCATTTTTTCTCTTGTGAAGTTGTGATTCACCTGACCTTGTAGCAGGGTTAATTAACTCTTAGACTAACCTGCAGTACCCAGGGATTCTCTTGTCTTGGAGTTTTATAAGAGCCTCTTCTGCAATCTATCCTGTTGTCAGAATTATGGACCAAGGAGGTGGCAGAGTGCTCCCTGTAGGTACCAGGCATCCAGCAAAGCTCCATAATATGGATCATCAGTTCAATTCAGCCTTGGGTGAAAGAAGGAAATAAAACATTTCTGGGGACAGCAGTTCCTGCCCTTGGATTCCTAAGTAAAGCTGAACTTCTAGATGGAGTTCACTTTTTAGTGAGGAAATAAATTAAAACTCATAAGCAAAGGTTTTGTTATTTATGCAGTAATGCACTCTATAAAAGGTGCAGGGACCAAGGACTTCAGAAACAGATTTTATCATATCTTTAGAGCAATGAGAGTCTCTTCAGATTTGTTTTTGGCACAAAGCCTTTTTTTGTTGGGAGTTTGCAGCCAGTTCTTCAGCACCTTTAAAACTCAGTTGAGGGTGACAGGTAATGATAGGTCATTATAGCTTTCTATCAGTTTAAATCTACCTGCTGAGCCATTTGTCAGCCTCTGTGTGATGAAGTGTGGACAGACTCACAAGGATATTTAGGTACCTAACTCCCAGTTTTTTCTGTGGGCCTTAAGCATCTGAAAACACTTTTTGAATTTAAGCTCTCATGGCGATGTTCCTGTTCCCAGCTCAGACATGTCCAAAAAGACCATCTTAGCACAGAAGCCAGCGGCTGGCTCTTCCAGATTTGGTTGTGGTTGTCAGGCCAAGGCTCCATGTGGTATTTTGGGCGATTAATTTCAACCATTTCTCTGATTGCTTTTTATTCAGGAGGTGGTTGGAGTTGGTGGTGGGTTGTAAATGTGAATCACAGTCTTAAAGGGCAGGACAGAGAGGGAACTCATTAAACCAGGTTGTGATAGGTGGTGAGGAGTGAGTGAAGGAGACTGTGTGTGTATGCTGCAACGACAGGGTTTGAGTTGCTGAGCCACAAGGAAATGCCCCCAGTGGCAGCACTCTCCTGTAAAAACGTCCGTGGGTTGTGTTCAAGAAGCAATGTGGTTTTGACAATCAACTTTGCCACCTTGCTGAAGTTTCTTAAAGATGTGAAGGGAGACTGCCCAAACTGTCAGTGATGCTAAAAGCTGAGGCACGTATCTTCTTTGGCAAACCTGGACACAGTGAGTGTACAAAGCCATTTTGGCAGGAAATTTGCACTAAGGCATGTCAGTAGTGAAGGAGACCTGGTGGGGTGCCCTGTTGGGAGTGCTGATGTGCCTGACCTGACTCTCTGTTGCCAAACATCTTGTAGACTTTCTTGGTGGCATATTCTCCATGGCAACTCTGCCACAAGAGTGACAGCTGTCATACTTCTTGTTTTGTCATGGAATTCAAACCACAGATTAAAAGATGACTGAATATTTTGGCATTAGGAAAGACTGGCTTTCAACCTTTGCTGTAATTGAAAAACAAAGTATTTGGGAAATTCTGAGGGTGTTTGGTTCACCATTAAAGAACCTAAAAACCCATTAAATCTGGTTTTACATGCCTTTGACTGTGCCAGTTTCTGCATAGTGATGGACTGTATCAAGTATTCCTTAAGAGAATCTGACTTCATTGTTTTGCTCTTCATTAATTGCTGCTGTTGTGTTTTGTTTCCTAACGGGTGCTCATGCCTGACTGCCCAGATGTCTGGAAGGAGAGACATCACATTTAGGAAGAGTCTGTTTAGGAACGATCAGGGAAGCAGACTGGCTTGGACATGGGGAACAATGAAGTTAACTGGGACTCTTCAGCTGGCATTAGAGGCATTATAAGCAAAGTTTTCAAAATCATGAGTGGCATAAAAACTAGAAAAAATAATGGGTTCATTGTGTTGTCCCTTATAAGAATTGAGCTAGATCCTACACAAAGAAGAGGGGGCTCGTTAGGCAGTGTGTAGAAGAGCTCTGTGCTTCTAGCCAAAGGATGTTGTGAATGCAGTGTTTACCTGAGCTCAAGGGGCAGACTGGAGAAGTCCATATGAGAAAAATCCATAAGAAATTACTAATACAGAAATTGCAGTTGTCCCTGAGTTTGCCCCCTGGATCTCAAAGAGTTGGAAGTAGGGGAGATAGGTTTGTTCTGTTTTGTTTTCATTCTTAAGCATCCAGTAATGGCTAGAGACATAAAAATAGTGGTATTGGGTCAGTTATTCCTTTTGTCCAGCCCTGCGTGGCCCATGCATTGTGGTATCTTCTTATGCTGGGGCTGAGTCAAGCAGTGCTGGTTTTGGTTTCTTCAGATCTGTGCATGGATCATGGTGTCACATGGAATAAACTTCTGTTTAATGTATTTCCAATATTTAGTTTGAGAAAGTTCTTCTGTTCTCCCAGGCTGTCAGCCAAGAAACTTCTCCTTGGACAGGCAGTAGTACAATATTTGTTGCTGTAGCTTGGTACATTTGTAGAGTTTTTCAGGTGTGCCTGCCTGTTCCCAGATGTCACAGGTCCCCAGTGCATCAGAAGGAGAACAGAATGATTTACAGATTGCATGAGCTGAAGCATGAAGTGGAAAACAACTGCTTAGACATGATGGATACTAGAATGCAGATCATCACTGTTATTTATTTAATTTGAGAGATTCCAGTGCTTCTACCACTGGAATGAAAAAGGGCTCCTCAAAGACAGAACCACCTGGAGGGCACAAGCTCATGTTCATCTTTCTGCAGACTGCCAAATAAAGCAGGTTCTGCAGGAACTATATGATACTTTTGGGAAGTGTTGCTGAGACATGAAGAGAGTCCTAGAAGTTCTTTTCTTCACTAGTAAGCCTGATCTGTTGCTCTTTTTTCCCCCTCTCCATGCCAGGGATGTATTTCCACAAGGTCTCCCTGATGAATATGCCTTTGTAACCACCTTCAAGTTCCGGAAGGCTTCCAGGAAAGAAGACTGGTATATTTGGCAGATTATTGACAAGTATGGCATACCACAGGTATGAGGCCCCTTGCAGCCAGCAAGAGCAGCCTTGTTTCTCATTTGCTGCATGAACCAGCTTTTGTGCCTTAACCTCCCACTCCTTTTTCCTTGTGGACTAGTAAAAATCCCTTTACCTGTCTTTCAGTTAATTTTGCTGAAAATCTTTAATTCAGCCCTCGAAGGAAGGTTGGCATAGACCTTTATTGTTGTTAGCCTGCAGACAGATGTGTTGGTTGGAAAGAAGGGGAAAAACATCCCATCCTTGCTCTCGAAACCACTTTTGGGTTTTTGGTTGTTTTGTTTGGGCAGTTCTGTTTAGGGAAAATATTTTGCCTGTTTGGGAAAAGATTGTCCCAGAGGTGCTATAGAGCAGTGAACTATGCCAAGTTTTTGCCCAAACTTCTAGGTATTAAGCAAAGGCATTATGGGTTTCTAGCTTAGAACACGGATGTAACACCTATTATTGCTCCACAGCCCTGAGTCCTGGCTGTGCATAATTTGATCTAATGATTTTTATCAAGTGTTCTCAGGGTCTCAGAAGAAAAATACCATAAGATTGTAATAGTGGGCTGTCTGTTCCTGTATAGAGTGTCCTTAGCAGCATGCTATAGTTTTGGGGTTCAAGTGTGTTTGAGGAGGGGGTGGTTTGGACCTTGTGTTTTTCTTCTTGGTACAATCAAGGTGCTGATGACATTACCTGTGGTGCCAAGCTGTGCTGTCAGCATGGGCTCACATAGCCATGTAACTCAGTATTGCTGTTTGGAGAGCATTTGCTTTTTGCTTTTATTCAGAAGGATTTGGGGAGCTCACAGTGAAGGCTGGGTGCAGTTTGAGGACTTAGGTAATTGAGTTTCAGACAATGGTAAAAAGGTTTAGAATAAAATTATCATCAGCTGCACTCTGTTAAATGGCACATGATTTACTGTGCTACATGCATTCCTAATTCCTGCAGAGTGAGAATGTTTTTATCACTCAGTATCTCTTGGAGACAACTGGGAACTTGAACTGTTTAGGTGTGGAGAGAAAAAAAAGCACTCGGCAATATTCTCAGTGGAGAATTCTCAGCAATATTTTCAAAAGTGCCTTAAGTTTTGGTGCCAGAAGTGCTTTAGAGCCTTGTGAGCCTTGTTTCATGTAAAGTCCATAGTGGTTTGGGTACTGCATTGTAGACTTGCAGAGCTTACAGACTGCAGACACTTGTGAGCTGTCGCTGATCCAGCCTGGCATTTCCAGCCAGCATGGTGCTCAGCTGCATGGAGTTGTTGGTTCAGATCTGGAGTCAACCCACCCTGGGCTGGTTGCATCAGACATGGCTTGGTGCCAATGTGGCCAAACTCCTTCCAGCTCTGCAGTTTGTGTACTCATCGTTTGTTCCTAGCTCTGTGCTTTGGTCCATTCCCTGCTGCTTGCTGGAAACTGCCTGACTGGTGAAAGAAGAAAGCAATTTGTAAAGGAATTGAAAATAGAATGTCTTCAGAAGCCTCTGTTTGCCTGCTCCATAGCTTGCGACACAGTGAGGTGGTGCAGCTGTAGGTTCAAAGCATCTGAAATAAAGTGTGGGCAGTGCTGCAGCTCATCACACTGGTTTCATGAGGGTACGTGATGGGGTTAAAGACCACAGAACTTGCTGGAAGTAGTGGAGGAGGGCAGAGGATAGAGGGATTTAAACCAGGCTCTCTTTGTCTGCTCCTGACATGTGCTACCACCCAACCATGCCCAAGCATTGCCTGGGAGGCATCAAGGTGGCATATGTTGAAACAATATCAAGAATTGTACTCACAAGAGAAGGCTTTAGATGGTTGTGGGTGTTCACCCAAGGCTCTGTTCTGCCCTGTCTTATTTACAAGAACAGACATAGGCTCTCTGTCCATACCTCAAACAAAACTCTGTCCTCTGCTCCTTCCTTGGGCTTCTCACCACACGCTGCAAAGGGGGCGGGAGGAAGGGGAGGGCTTTGTCCTTTCTCAGCAGAAGGTCTGCTGTCTGCTGGCAGGTCTCCATCCGCCTGGACGGGGAGAACAAGGCTCTGGAGTACAACGCCGTGGGGCTGGCCAGGGACGCCGTCAGGGTGGTCTTCCGCAGCGCCCGCGTGGGCGACCTCTTCGACCGCGGCTGGCACAAGGTGGCCCTGGGCGTGCAGGCCAAGGCTGTCTCCCTCTACATCGACTGCAGGCTGGTCCAGATGCTGCCCATTGAGGACAGGGAGAATATTGACATTCAAGGGAAGACCGTGATTGGCAAGCGCTTGTATGACAGCGTCCCCATTGAGGTGAGTGCTGCCCGGGCCGGCTGGAGCTGGGGTGCAGCGTGGGGCTTGCAGAGGCTGGGGTTGGTGTTGTAACTGACCCTTTTCTGTAGCAGCCTCACTGGAAGGTTTCCTGTGTTATGTTGGCATCTCATTGTGTACAGGATGTCTTTTTATGTGAGGTTGTCAGGATCTCTATAATAGGGATTAAAAATGGGAAATCTGTTTTGTCTTTCTGTCTAGTCCCAGAATGTGCTGTAGCTTAAATCTGAAACAAAATGACCCACAAATACCATCAAAAGTGGGTGTTGAACTACACACATTAAAGGTCTTTTGCTCTCTGGTCTTGGCGTTATGAATGTTGCCACTTGTGATAAGAAGAGATGGGGAGAAAAAGAAAACTTGTTATTTCAGGAGACTCACGATACATTCTCAGCTCCTCAGAAATGATACCTGATATTAAATGACTCTTGCTCTAATTGAACCAAAGTTGAGACCTTCAGGACAGACCTGATTGTCCAGTAGTGATGGTAACCTGGTGTAACTTATGTATGGTTGTTTGGTGTTTTGAGACTTGTGTAATCTTTCTTAGCTGTGCAAAAGGGATGGAATGTGCATGTTAAATGTGTTAATAGCATTTCTCACCTAGGGGTAAATCGTCAGAAGGTTCAAGGCACAACAGGAGAAAAAAAATTATGTCTAGATTAAATTCTATAAGGTAGTCAGAATATGTCTTCTCAGACAGGAATTTAGCCAGGACATGGAGATTAGCATGCTTCCTTATTTGCATGAAAACCTGCACCAGAACTTTAATGGGCATCTTCAGGGTCTCGTTTGCTCAGCACTCTTGGAGCACGCTGAGATATTGGTCCACTATCAGTAGAGAGAGATTGGTATTGGCTACAGGGTTCATAGAATCACTGTGAAATTAGCCTCATCTGTTTTCTGTTTGTATTTGCCTGCACTGTTTTTATCCAAGGAAAAGGACAGGCAGTCTTTAATAATTCACTGTCTCTGAGACTATTGCCTCACTTTCTCTTCTAGTTTGATCTTCAGCGGATGGTTATTTACTGTGATTCTCGGCATGCTGAGCTGGAGACCTGCTGTGACATTCCCTCTGGACCAGTAAGCTCCTTTTTGTCATTTATTCATTTTCACATGAACACTCTTTGTTGAAATCTTATCACATAAATCAGGGAATATATGGCACTGTGAGATTATAATTTTTTTAATAATGGTGAATGAAACTTAACTATATAATCAGTAGTGTAGCAGTGCCAGAAGAGGACTACTGCAGTGGGATGAGTATGAGGAATTTGGAGTTTCCAAGTTGCTCTTTCCATGTCAAACTGTCAGGGGAAACAAAACCCTGAAGTGATGATGGAACAACAGAAACACAGCATGAAATATTCAACATGTTTCCCACTGGTTTTATTTGGGAAGAGCTAAAACGGTGCCCGTTGCTGCATAGTTTCCCGTGCCTTACTCTCACTGAAATTCCCACCCTGCTTTCACTCTGCTCCCCTTGCTCTTGGTTAAAGAGATTCATTGTTCTTTTGGCAACATTTTTCCTTACTGCTCCAGTGAATGGCTTTTGAGGGATTTCATTCCTCGCCGGGACTCATTTGGCAGTGTGTTGTTGAGTAATACCTATGCAGTTTCTCCCAGGTGGGTGGAAGAGGAAGTTTTCTAGCATCAAAGGCTTTGTCATGATCTTGGGTGTTTGTGTGTAGTGCCAGGTCACGGTCCTGACAGAACCACCTCCCCTGGAAGTGAGGCCCACTGTTGGCAGCGAGCAAGTTGGCCACCTCAAGACTTTCAACTGTTCCTGTCCTGCTGGGCCAAAGGTGAGTGTTGAGATGGGTGTATTTCATTTGAGGCATGGTGGATGGGTTTGGAAATGGGGACATGACACTGTCCAAGTGAGCTATAAGAAGGGCTGTATTTGTGAAACACTTGAAGACCTAAAGGAGGAAAGCACTACATGGAAAGAGCCAGGCATGTATTATTCATGGGTGGGATGTTTGTAGAGGTGATCCAGTCTTCCCAGATGTTTTCTCTTCACCGAATTTTACCTAATTTACCTAATGAATTCAATCACACTGGCAATCCTGGTAACAACCTTGGAAACAAAGTGGTTCTTCTTATCCAGCCCAGTTATGTGTATCCTTCATCAAATAAAAAGGAAGAGATTCTGGGGGTAAATATAGTCACACTGAAAAAAAAATCTCATAGCTTTGAAAAACAATGTGGTTGCTTGTGTGCTTGTGGCTGAGAAGCCAGCTTCATTGTTATTGCTCTTGAGGGCCTGGCAGTTTTAGTCTGTTCTCCACTAAAAGCTGAAAACATTTTTGTTGTCCTCAGTTGTAGAATTGGGCCCCTTGCTTTGTTATACAATGACAAATCAATCTGATTAATCATATTTTTTTAATCGTAGGGGGAGAGAGGTCCAATTGGCCCTGAAGGTCCTAAAGGTCAAAAGGTCAGTAGTATGTGCTAGTTCATTTGTGTAATGAAAACAACACCACAGCAGTTTCAGAGTAAGCTGAAGAGTTGAAGATTTTGAGAAATGAGGGTCAGTTTGATATATGATTGAGTTCAGATAGTTTTGGATGATCCCAGGACCTCAGGAGACTCTGTTCATCTTGTATCTTTGCTCTAGGCTTGCACTTGAGCTTCTGTGTTGTTGCTTTATGTCATTCTTAGTGCATTCCAAAACCTTTTCCTGTAGCTTCTAAACTGCCTTTTTTGCAAGCTTGTGTTATTCACTAGGTCAGGCACAGCTTTTGTGATAAATCACCTGGAAAACCACGTGCTGCTGCCGTGCTGTGACCTCCTCAGCAGTGCTAGATATCCCTAAGTCAGGTAGCAGCCTCTCAGTCACACTCTTT